CGGGCCCCGCCATGGTGCAGCAGGCGGAGAGCGCGGAGAGCGAGAGCAACCTGCCCAGGGAGGCGATGGACACCGAGGAGGGCGAGTTCATGGCGTGCAGCCCCGTCGCCCTGGACGAGAGCGACCCGGACTGGTGCAAAACGGCGTCGGGGCACATTAAGAGACCGATGAACGCGTTCATGGTGTGGTCCAAAATCGAGAGGAGAAAAATCATGGAGCAGTCGCCGGACATGCACAACGCGGAGATCTCCAAGCGCCTGGGCAAGCGGTGGAAAATGCTGAAGGACAGCGAGAAGATCCCCTTCATCCGCGAGGCGGAGAGGCTGCGCCTCAAGCACATGGCCGATTACCCCGACTACAAGTACCGGCCCAGGAAAAAGCCCAAAATGGACCCGTCGGCCAAGCCCAACGCCAGCCAAAGCCCCGAGAAAAACGCACCCACCAGCAGCAGCAGCAGCAAAAGCGCCAAGAGCTCCAGCAAGAAATGTAGCAAGCTGAAATCCTCCTCTGCCTCCTCTCCTCCCAAGCCGGGGGCCAAAGCCGCCCAGCACGGGGACTACGCGGGCGACGAGTACGTGTTCGGCACGCTCAAAGTGAGCAGCAAGACGGTCAAGTGCGTCTTCATGGACGACGACGAGGAGGACGAGGAGGACGAGGACGAGCTGCAGCTGCGGATCAAGCAGGAGGCCGACGAGGAGGAGGAGGACGAGGAGCCGGCGCAGCAGCAGCTGCGGCGCTACAACGTGGCCAAGGTGCCGGCCAGCCCCACCTTGAGCTCCTCGGCGGAGTCCACCGAGGGCGCGAGCCTCTACGAGGAGGTGCGGAGCGGCGCGGCGGCGCACGGTGCCGGCGGCGCCCGCCTCTACTACAGCTTCAAGAACATCACCAAGCAGGGCCCGGCGCCGCCGCCGCCGCCCGGCCTCTCGCCCGCCTCGTCCCGCTCCATCTCCACGTCGTCGGCGGGCAGCGAGGAGGCCGATGACCTCCTCTTCGACCTCAGCCTCAACTTCTCGCAGCACGGCCACGCCGCCGCCGAGCTGGGCGCGGGCGCCGCCGCCGGCAACCTCTCGCTCTCGCTCGTGGACAAGGACCTGGACTCCTTCAGCGAAGGCAGCCTCGGCTCCCACTTCGAGTTCCCCGACTACTGCACCCCGGAGCTGAGCGAGATGATCGCGGGCGACTGGCTGGAGGCGAACTTTTCCGACCTGGTGTTCACGTACTGAGYGGCGCGGCGGCCGCCGGAGAGATGCGGCCGGGAGCGGCGCGGCTGGAGCGGCCAGATGATGATGATGATGATGATTTAAAAAAAAAAAAAAAATCTTGTTTTCTTAGGAAAAAAAAAAAAGTCTCGAAGTTAGTTCCAAACCGAGCCCGGGAGTTGTGATTTTTTTTCATTTTTTTCTCTGATTTTTTTATTATTATTTTTATTGCATTTGGTGATCACAACAACAACAGCAACAAAGGCAAATGGGACTGGGGGAAAAAATGATACAGAAGGCGCTGTTTGAAGCTTGTCAATCTCTGATTGAAGTCTGGAAGATGGTCTGCAAAGAAGAAGTCTTTTGGCAGCACAACTGTTACTCAAGGGGGTTTGTGGATTTTTTTTTTCCCGTGAGAGATCTTAAAGAACTGTTCTGATTTTTATTTTATTTTATTTCTTTTTTTCAAAAGGGACCATTGCAACTTTTTTTTGGAGGGAGAAAACTGATGTCTTCTATGCATCTGATTCTTAACAAAGCTGCAGGGAGCTTGAAAAAATGCAGACTGTACAAACGCTTACAAATAACTGAACTGACTTAAGATCAGAGTTTACTTTTCAGATCAAATTGTTTATGGTTTTACAAATGTGATTTCTACTTGCCAACTTTTTTTTTTGTAACTTGTTCCCTTATACCTCCTTGATTGAATACCAGACAGCCTAGACCTCAGTACAAAAAGGTATTGAAACATTTTTGATACATAACAGACCTCAGTCTTTTTTAAAAATTAATATATTTTCAGGCGTATTTTTGTACAGTGAAAAGGGAACATTCTTGCTGTGTTTTTTCAGTAAGACTTTTCAGGCACTTCTTCCCTTTTATTTTCTTTTTTTTTCTCTGTTTTTAGCATGCAAGTTTGTTGGTACGTTACGTCCTGGTTTTAAAAGGATTAAAATTTTAAAAAATAATCCTTGCATCTAAAGGCCTTGTGGTTTTAAAAAAGAAAAAAGAAACAAACACTTTTTTTGTACAGCTATAGTTCAGATTTGTTCAATATTTGTAGGTAAAGATTTATTGAAAATGGTGATATAGACCTCAGAGCTGTTATCTTAGTTTAAAAGATTGTATATGTACTGTACTATAGTAGGACTTTATGTATCTCATACGCTGTGATATGTGGATGGGGCCCCAGATGGAAGGTATGAAACTGGATTCTCGATTTTAGCAAAAAAAAAAAAAAAGAAAAAAGGCACATAGTTAAAGTTTCTCATGTTGTGCAATATAATCTAAAGTACAGACCATCTGCATATTTTGTAGCAAATGATGGCAAAAGCAGACTTGTGCACTGTCAACATCATAGCCTGTTTTTTTTTAAAATGCTGAAAGTCTGTATCTTGACAATTTTAATAAATCAGCTGGAACTGATAGAAACTCGTATCGCTATTAGTGTCTGTAGAAGTACCGCTGGAGATGCCGTGTTGTCACCCCTCGCCTGCGGAGGAGAGCTAGCTGTAGGCTGTTGTGTGTAGACAGAGCTAGGGGGAAGCGAAGCTGAGGAGCGATTTTTTTTTTCTCTCTCTGTCTCTCTTTATTTCTTTTTTTTTCTCCCTTTTTATGCTTTTTTTAAATTATTATTGCTATTTTTATTTGTTTGCTTCGCCGCGGCTCTTCGGGCGCCGCCGCCCCCTGCGAGGAGGGAGCGCGGAGCGGCCGCCCCGGCTCCGCGGGCGGCTCCGCGGCCGTCCCCGCCCGCCGGGGCCGCTTTCCAGGGAGGCGGGTCGGGGACGGCAGAGGAGGGGAGCGGCCGCGGTGCCGGCTTGCGCGGGGCGCGGAGCGGCCGCCCGCGGCTGCTCCCCGTCCCCGCGGCTCCTTCTTCCCTCGCTTCCCCCCCACCCCGCGCGCTTTTTGCGCGGCCGCGGGGCTCCGCGCGCATCTCCGCGCCCGCCGCTGCCCGCGGGCGGAGGGGGCGTGGGCGCTTCTGCTGTAGCTGAACAGGCTTCGTGCGCGTGCGTTTTTATTTTTTAATTTTTTTTCATTTTTTTTCCTTAGGAGCCATCAGATTTCAGTTTTACGCTCTGAAATAACTGCTGATGGCAATGAGCGGCCCCGCAAGGTGGAAGTTTTGTTTCTCAAGGAGTTTACTTTAGACCTGATACACTTAAGATAGGCATTGGGCAATTCTTCATTTTGTATCCACTAATTAACGATCCAGCTGTTTACAGGGACGATTCACTGTGCTGGTGTTTTGGTGGCGACCACTGCTACAGGCTTTCAGACTTGCTGAAATGAAAATCCTGCATACACATTTGTAAGGCATAATAAAACATAACATTAAAACCTGCATGCATGTTATGTTTAATCAAAGACAACTCTTAGGCATTTAAGTGGTGAGATATCTTACTTTAGGTTAGTTAAATAAACTGGTAGTAAAATGATTAATATAATCTGATCTCTTTCTAATAATAATAATAATAAAACACTCATGATTCTAAATAAAAGTTGTTTGGCCTAAATCTTTGCTATCAGAAAAGAGATATAGCATATCTGGGAACTTAAATTTATGTCTTGCATTGTGATAATTCTTTATGAGAAACTGTGTTTTAAAACAAATACAAGATATCCTTGGCAATGGATAGTCCTCAATAAAACAGAGTTTCTTGAATTTTCAGTTTTTGGTCTCAAATGATTAGTGTGTTCTCCATACGATAACTTAGAAATCAAATTGAAAACAAATGACATTTATCTCTTCTTAGGCAAAAAGGAAAAAAAAAAAAGTGAAAGAAAATAGATACACTGAAGTGCTCTAGCCTAGCCATTCACTATCCTGCTATTGAAAATCAGCTCATGGGTTAGGGTGATGGAATAATTTGATCAGGTTCTAGTCTTAAAACTGAGCCAAAATTCTCTTAGTAATTCTTGAAGCTATCATGAGAGCATGGGGACGTTTCCTTCCAGTCCCTTTCTTCTGATATGCATCCTTGTTTATTAACGTGGTAATAGGCAGTGTCATTAAACATTTGTGCTTTACAGATGTTCAATGGGTTATGAATGATTACGGTCAAACGTAGGCTGGATTTAGTTTGCTTTGTAATAAGGTCTGTGTTTCAGCCTATGGAAGTTTCAATTTATGTATAGTTTTGGAAGATGTTTTTAAAATTACTGTTTAAAATATTAGTCAAGGATAATTATAAGATCCAAATGTAGAGCAGTTGAGCAAATTTTAAAAGAGCAACAGGTCTACTTTAGTCAAAGAATATCCACTCAGAAGTATATCTTTTCTTTCTGCTAGATGGGAATTATACAATACTAAATCAGGTGAAAATTTTCAGTGGAGGTATATGGTGCAGGGAGATGATTTTTTTTGTCCAGACAGTTTGATTTTCATTTATTTCAGAGTTTGAAGTTGTATGTTGCTCATGGCAAATTAGGTAGTGTTCTGGTTAAGCTACTACATTGTTAGGGCTGAAATTTGTTCCTGTTGAATGCCTAAGCTCCTACTGATCTCAGTGAGAGTAAAAACAATTTTCTCATCATTAATATAGCATCTGTTATGTTATTCTCATTTCTTTTTGTTTTTGTCATATCTAATAATATTCTTCAATGCTTTCTTCTTTCTTTCTTTTTTCTTTTCCTTTTTTTAAGTAGAGTAAAAATTCTTGTTTACCTTCTAGAGCAATCCTATTCCAGGCTTAGTGTTTCTTGTTGCCTTSTTTTACAATCTTTGCATTTGTCTCTGTACGATACTATTCTAAGTGTAATCAGATTTAGTGATAGAAAATATGTGAGCTTTTTTTTTTTTTTTAAATCTGGAAATGTCAGCTTGATGCAAAACCTAATCAAACATGATGATTCTTTTCTAATTTTAAAAYGAACATTTCTAAAATTAGCATTTTTTATTTTGTTGTTCTTATTGTGTTTTTCTATCTTTCATTTAACAGAGCTATAGTTAAGAAATATTTTATTCTTTTAATGGTGGTCTTTTTGCCAATGTGTGAAAAAGATTCATTCTGAACTTCCTTTAAGAGCTTCATACTCTTTAGGCTTTCACTGTCATCCTGCTTAAATTTCTCCAGGTCTATTGAATGTGATTTGCATGTGTGTAGTCTGATCCTTCACTTGTGCCTGTTTGAGGAAAGGGCAACCAGGTAAAACTGGTGTGGGCTCAAATCAGGGCCATATAATTTTTAGGCGTTTAATATTCAACACAGTCATTACGTTCCTTAACTCTCTCTCTTTGTATATCTTCATAGTTCTGCCTGGTAAGGCCTTAAACCTGCACTGGTGGAAAAAAAGAAAAAAAAGGAATCTCATTGAGTTTAATGGGTGCTTTTGTCTCAAGGGCTGCTGGCAGAATAGGTGTCTTAGTTCCTCATAACTGTCATTTGTAACCATGGCCAGGAAGAAACAAAAAACAGCAAAAACTTAATTCAATGAGTTGCCTTACATTCCCGCTACTTTACAATTATATTTCTTTCATTTGTTTCCTCTCCCCTTACCCACATTGAAGGCTGTGATTGTTTTTGTTTTTCTTAATTTTTTTGCACACTACCTATACCAATTAACTGCCTAATTAGTTTTATCTGCGCTACATGGATGCAGTGAATTTGTAAGAGAATTTCACAAGCAAGTAGTTTTTTAGTGAGTTTAAAGTAAATAGAGTTTTAAAGACCTATTTTTATATTCAATATAAAGCACAAATGTGCAGAAAGTGTAGAAAGACTTACAAAAAGGGAAACAAAAGTTCRTAATATTTCATGTATAAAAGTAATACCTTCTTTGGGTTGAGATTCTCTTAGAAAACCCAATACTTATGCCAGTGCAAAGATAGGAATATTTTAAAAACTCTTAGAAAATTGTGATTGACAGCAATTTCAAAGGAATGACTTCTGTAGATTCAAGGAAACCCCTAAAGCAATATGGATAAGAAGGGGTGAATGGTTTTCAATGATGGACAACCTGGAAGTGTGAGAATGGAGGTTTCAATTCTTATTAATTAATCAAGCTTCTTCTGTGGTTAGTTGCAACATCTAGATTTTCTGTGAAGTGAAATCTTGAAGGATAAAAAAACGTAAGGGAGATGGGCTGATTCTAAAATTTGCATATATTCAAAAAGAAAAAACCTTTCAG